TTTTATTAAAAAATATCATTACCATGATGAAAAGATGGAATATCTTAACCATGTATTACAAACAGAAAATACTAAGAGTATTGAAGAACTTCTATGCCAGTGTATGCTATTAAAAGAATCGCTCAAAGAAAAATACTTAGATTTGATTAGTCAAACAGCTGTTACATTATTAAAAAATGAAATTTTTTTTGAACGTAGTCTGATAACTCAACATGAATTAAATGCACATAAAACTATGTATATTACAATGGATTGTATTGATTTGATAATGAGTACTTACGAACCTGATCATTATGAAGTCTGTCAAGAACTTTATAAAAACTTTAGTGAAAATAAACCCAAATCGGGTAGGTTTTTCAAGTCATAATAATATTCATAAGTCATAAATTGAACGAGTATTTTGGYTTGTATAAACATTTACCAAGTTAAACTTTACTGTTGTTAGCATAAAACTTATTATTATAGTACATACTACATTATTACTATTTACTAGAAAGTTATAGGAGACATCTATACAATAATGATAATTATTATTAAAACGCCTTATTAAAATAATATACAATATATTCAGTGCCGGTGGAAGGCGTGTGCGACCGGCACTGATAATATTACAGCGGATCCAATTCGAGTAATATCAAAAATAATACCGCGGACCCAACTCGTGTTTTTTTTTAAGGGATCAAATATCTCGGGACCCAACTCGCGTTTTCCCTCCGTGACACTGTTGGTAAAAAAAATGAAAAAAGGTGTACCCTATACCGGAAAATAGAAAATATTAGATAATGGTCCGCCCGATACCTAAGTACCTATATTGRCTATTGTAGGTAAAATATTTATTCCTTCACAATAAATTTAATAATGTGTAGCTACTAGATATCTGTATAAAACAATTTAATTGGTAAGTAAGGTAGGTAACCTCGTACATATAAGACAATACAATAGGCACCTAACCATGATAAGTTTAAGTACATATTACTTTTTTCTATAGTAAGAAATAATATATTAATATTGAAAACTTTTAATTTATTTTGAAATTACGTCTAATATTGTTCAGATGATGAAATATCCGCGGTTGATATTACTATGGAACAAAAAACTGAATATGCAACAATGAGCGAAGAATGGCTTGAAATGATAAAACCCATGATTAAGAAAAGATTAGAATGGGCTGTAGAAAGAATATCAGACTATGATTTCCTTTGGCCAGAGTGTCAACATGAAAACCTTAATCCGACTGTAAAGGACGAACATACAAGAAGAATAGAACCTTATGAGCAAAAAGAGTGTAATCTTTCACTTGTTAGACAATTTTTTATAAACAAATATTTATAATTTCTAACTWATATACGAGTACGTACTATTTTTGTAAATAATGATTTGGCACTGTAAATTTTCTCATGAAAAATTGGTCTTTTAGTTATGACTGTAGCCTTCTCAGCATAGACTTAAATAAAAGGGTGTTTCATAAAAAACGCAGTTCTTGATTTTGCTATAAAATATAAATTAATTATTTTATAAGAAATACATTATTAATGATAGCCGGTAGGTACATATTGTTTCACTTTTAAGTTTTAGTTGAGGTTTAAATGTGAAATGCGATATTGTGCACACGACCTTCTCTTGAGTCGTTAACAAAAGTGAAATAACGATTAACGTTAACGAGTAACGACTCTTCCAGTTTCCAGTGAAATATCTTCAGTGCAGAACTGCAGACGTGTAGTACACCATTGACAAAGAAACRGCTGTTTTCATCCGTATCTATCTTGCTACAAAAAGAATATTGAATGTATGAGAGGCTTTGAGTTATTTTATTAGAAAAACCCGAATGGAACGACCCGAACGACATAACGAGTCTAGGCCGCAGGGATGGCAAATAAGTGGCACGCGTGAGATTTTTGATGGCACTCGAAAAACTTTCATTTGTCCATATATATTTATAGATTTTTAAGTAAAATACAATAAAGTGCACATATTAATAATATATATTTCACAACGACGTATTGTTATCTTATCTTTATTATTATAAAATATAATTTAAATGTTGTAATATWGTGGGACACTAGATTACTAGAAGTGTGTGAACAAGTTAATATTATATACCTATACCTAATCAGTTTAATGTTCATTGATCATTCAGATTCAGTTCTCATTCGTGTATTACTGTATTGAGAGAATACGACCGTGTGCGAATTGTACGTTATAATATTAATTTTTATTCAAAATGTCACATACAAAAAAACAAAAATTACACGATGTTCGAAATTTTTACCATCATGGACAATTGAATACGGCTTTATTAAATATGGAGATAAAAGCCGATGCCTTATATTTAATAATTTGTTTACATTATTTCCATTTTTACATAATTGTCTACATTATAGTCATTAATTTTTCATTTGTATTTTTCTTTGTTAGTAAAAATAATTATGGCACGGCTGAAATTTTTTTTTTAATTATGTCATAAATTGGCACGTTGAAAAATCCTATTTGCCATCCCTGGTCTAGGGTCTAGCTAACAACTAGTCCGGCTAAAATTGAAATTTTTTTGTTCTATGAAATATTATTAGAATCGTATTAATATTATCTCCTACGAATGTCGATGATTGAGAATTGAGATTTGTCACAGGATTATAGATCTTATAGTATTGATATATGAATATGATACACGCATCTAACTACACGCTCGTTATGTAATTTGTTTTATTATGTAAGTAGTAAGTACCTACCTATATATATAGGTTCTCTGTGTTTGTTTAATAATAGTTTTATATGAAATACTGTTTAATAGTAATGTTTTTTTTAATTAGGTACCTAAAAGAAACTAGGGAACTATAATCGTAATTTTTTCGTTAAATCTCAAACTTTATCAAAACTTGAAGTTGACGTTTAGATATATGAAAAATGGGACAAATAATTGGTGTTTTTAGTTAACTGTAAGAACAATATTAACGAGTATATTTTTATTAAATTTGTAGGTTTTGTTTCAGAAATAATCAAATAAACATTTCATATATAGTTGTTGATTTATTATTTTTATAAATATAAAAGAAAACTATTTACAATTTACCTATATTAACATATATAGCTGAAAGCTATTAAAATATGCATATTTGAGGGGGGGGGGGGGATTGCCTAAATTAAAACAGTTTATGGTAAAATAAATAAGGTATAATTTAAGCTTATGCCCTCCCCCCTCATACGCCACTGGTTTGAATTTATTATGATGAAAACCTTAACATTGGCAGTAATCATGTTATTATAAATTATTTTATTTAAATTTATCTGTTTTAATAATTAGGTCCTAAATTATAGCGGTAAATTGTGTTTTTGGAGAACTTTGAAAGGGAGAGGCTAATATTTTTAACATCGATGTGAGCAGATTCCTCACAAGTCATAACGAAAAACCTRTCGATTTTTTACCGGGGTTCTTTTTCAGGGGATTTTTATTTCGTAGTTCCCGTGATACTGACCAGTGAGGCAGTGACCAATAAGTACTTTAATTTACWAAGACGCTGACGTATGAACTATGAAGTATAAATCATGAGTTAGAGCAGCGCTCGGCTAGATCAATAGCAGAGCTGCACGCGCCTCTGCCAAAATAAAAATTTGCTCCCCACTCCCTAAAAAAAAAAATTAAATGTTAACTTATTTACCTTTAAGTATATTAGTATAATTAATGTTTACTTTAAAGCTTAAGAGTTAAGTTTATTATTTTAATAAATAATAATATTAAAAATAACAACTCAGACAACAGACTCAATCAAATGTCAATTGTAAAATAAGTAGTAACCGAATAATCGTGAAAAAAAATTGAATTGAACTATTTCGAATTAGATTTTCAAATTTAATTATATACAATTTTACACCCCCATTCCTATTCCATATTTTGAGCCCCTGGGCCSTGGCAGGCGCCCACCTTTCCAGGCCCCGAGTTGTGTATATTGTAGTGATATATATTCTTACCTGAAAATCTTGATACTTTTGTACGTACCATTATCAATTTGTGGTGAAAACTAGAAAATGTTACAAGTGATAATAGAATCTATCTTTTTATCTACATCGTCATCGACTCATCGTGTGACATCCAATCCACCATAGACACAAGTCTATGACATCCACAGATCTATAGATCTTATAATATCTACGGTGACAACCTAAAATATTGTGGTGAACTGTAATTTTAGGGCGAAGATTAATATTATATTATATTATATGGCTTATGCCACGATTTAAGATATATCTTAGTCCGTGGCTTATACGGACTACTAGAGTGCCTTGATAGAGAGGCACTCTACGGACTACCACTTCAACTAGCGCAATCTAACGTTTTAAATCCATGTCGTATGAAACATATGTAGAGTGATAAGTTCTGAATACAATTGATAACATCTACAATTCCCATTAAAAATATTTGCATTTCATCATATAGTTATAGTTTATACTAGTTACTATATCGTCTATATCTAATATTCGTCATACTCATATTATATATAAAATATAGTCGTATTATAGTTTTTTTCATCAAAACAATACGGTTTGTCGAGTTGTTAACTGTATCATATCTTTCTATGTTGTTTCATTGAAATTCTGTGTACTTGTATTAATTATTGAGTATTTAACATTAATTGTTTTTGTTTATTCAACATATTATTTTGTATATACCTACACTACACCTTATAAATAATACGTTTTATTTTAATYCCCCACATTCATTGTTCTGAATGCGCCATTAGTTATGATACGTAAATCAAAATGGTTCTTAGTGTTTATGATCCTATTTTTGAGTTGCATAGACGGTTAGTATTATAACAACATTTGTGTTGACAATTCATTTGATATGTGTTGATTAACTTTTGTTAATTTTAATTTTTCTAATATTATTACCTATTTAGTTTATGGTTATCAACTAATACTGAACAATAACGGTCCAGTAACTACTGGTTCAACAGTTATCTTGAATGCTACAGTTGTCGATGACAATGGCTTATGTGCTAAAGGAAGTCTGTTGTTTTACTATGAAGATGATGCATTTCCAAGTCATAAATTGGAAGTAAGTTAACATTTTAGTTAATAGTTTTATTTTTTTTACTCAAGGTACCTAGATTATTACTTGTTAGCTYTAATGTTAAACCTATACCTTATAAAATAAAGCATCTATAAAAAATCTGGTTCATCATTTTACTGTTAAGAAGTTTCTAACTCATCTAGAACTACCTATATGATTGTGCACTATTTAAGATCTTATCTGTAAATAGGTATCTAACACCTACATAAATACAAGTATTCTTAATAAAAACAATATAAAATAGTGTACCTATTTGAGTACCCTTTGTTTGTATATGCTCTGAATTTTATAGACCAAATTTCAGAATAATTTTTCGCAAATTTGTGAAGTGCTATCTATCTAATATTACCCTTTGATAAAAATAAATAATGAAAATAATTGTTATTACTTTGTCTTTTTATGTAGGTACCTAGTACATTAGATAAATTTATTTTTAACTTTTTTTTTTTGTAATTGTTTATATAATATTGTGTTTTTACATTTCATGTTTACATGTTTTAATTAGTCTGAGATCTCAATCCTAGGTGGCATCCCAAATGTAATTCTTAAGCTGTGTATCAGATTTTGTTTGCAATTAAAATATTTATAA